TTCCCCAACTCCCAAGACTATAAAGAATGCCCAGGGGCTGGAATTGTGGCTCAGTGGTAGAATGCTCGCCTACCATGCTTGAGGTACTGGGTTCAATCCTTAGCACCACATAAAATGTAAAATAAAAGATATTGTGTCCACCTAAAACTAAAAAATAAATATTTTTAAAAAAAGAATGCCCAGCCAATAGTTACATATTATACTAACATGTATAAACCCCTTTCTCCCTTGTTAGTCCCTAAACTCTCAGGGACAAAACTGCCTCAGCATCTTTATAAGCCTAAAGATGACACACACGTAGATATTCAATGGGTGATTGGAGTTCATGAGAGCAGTTGCAGTAGAGCTGAGCATGCAAACCATACTACAGTGCATTAAGGAGTAAACGGAAGAAAGAGGTATGGAGTTTGCTGTATAAGGACAAGTCTAGAAAGGAAAAGTAGGAGAAATGGCAATTATTTTTAGAAGATCACAGGAAAAGTTGTGTGTGTGTGTGTGTGTGTGTGTGTGTTTAAGAATGAGAAAGAGGGGGCTGGGAGTAAAGTTCAGAGGTACAGCATTTGCCTAGCATGTCCAAGTGTCTGGGTTCAACCCTCATACTCCATTAAAATGAAAAGGAATGAGAAAGACATGAATATGTTGGTTGATAAGGTAATACAACACAGTTGAAAGAGCAGGAGTTTAGAGCTTCTGGCTTTGTTGCAGTGTGAGTAAATTATCTTAACTCCTGTGACACAATTTACACATATGTAAAATAGAATACCTACAGCTCACTGTGACAATTACAGTACCTGTGAAACTTCAGGCATTCAATAACTGTTGTCAATGAGTATTAATATAGGTAGAAGCCTGACTCTGGTGTTCTAACCTCTCCCACCTGGCTTGCATTCCAATCTGCATTTCCTGTACAAGTGTATGTGTAATATACAATGACAAAGAAACAGGATCTTTATTTCTTCTGTGTGTACCACACTTTGTACTATTCCCACTTCCTGTAACAGTGTGCATGAAATCATGAATGGCTGCTGTGGAAAATTACTGCTGTTACCAGCTGAGACAGACAATCTGGTGAATGAGCCCAGGAAGCTGATGTTAAATCACCAATGTACAAGATTTTGCCAAAATCTTCACTGGAAACCAAGAAGAAATACACACACACAGAACACTTCTTAAGATTCTAAGCTGGCAAGGTGTTCTTGAATTCAGTCCAGGCACAGAAAGATGGCTGTATAATAATGAGATAATTATCTCCTGAGTTCCTTCTCAAATTTCACTCCAATATCAGGTTTATTTCTGCAAAGTACTACTTTTCTGTCAATGTGACAAATTCCCAAGGAAGGTTAGTATACTTTTTTTTTTTTTTTATGGTGTTGGGGATTGAACCCAGGGCTACTGAGTTTTATCCCCAGCTTAGTATACATTTTTATATGGAAGTAACATTTTGTTCACTGCTCCCCCTCCCTTTTCCCCCACCTTTCCCAGTGTTGGGGATGGAACTCAGGGCTTCACAAATGCTAGGGAAGTGCTCTACCACTGAGCTACACCCCCAGCATCTTAGAACCTTTTAAAGTTAATGTTCTGGTTATAGGTCATGTTCACCTATTACCCATATATAATCTATATAAAGGGCTGGGGATGTGGCTCAAGCGGTAGCGCGCTCGCCTGGCATGCGTGCGGCCCGGGTTCGATCCTCAGCACCACATACCAACAAAGATGTTGTGTCCACCGAGAACTAAAAAATAAATATTAAAAAAAAAAATTCTCTCTCCCGCCCCCCCCCAAAAAAAAAAAAAACCTACATAAACACTTCACCACTTATCTCTGTTCCATAGATCACATACTTCCATGCTTAACAAGGGATAGGGAAGAGGACTAAAGCTGAGGCTGTCACAAAAAATTAGTGATGCAAAAGCTACATTCAGGTATTGGTGGTATGTAGTTCAGTAGTGCAGCCAGATTCTAGGTACAATGCCTAGCACCAAAAAAATAAAGGGGGCTAGGATGTGGCTTAGTGGTAGAACGCATGCCTAGAATGTATGAGGCCCTGGGTCTGAACTCCAGCACTGCAAAAAATAATAACAACAAATAAATAAAGATTAAAATTTAAAAAAATCTTAAGCTACATTTACTGGCAGGCATGGTAGCACACACCTGTAATTCCAGCAACTTGGGAAGTCAAGGCAGGAGGATCACAAATTCCAGGCCAGAGACCCTAAGCAACTTGGTGAAATCTTGTCTCAAAATCAAAAATAAAAAGGCATGGGGAGAGGGAAGGACTGGGAATGCAGCTCATTAGTAAAGTGCCTCTGGGTTCAATAGTACCAAAAACAACAACGAAACACTACATTTACTTAGAATTCAAAATTATCAAAAAAACAAAAAGATCAAACTCAAAAATCACTTACAAATCAATCAAGGAGAACAGAAATGAACATGTAAAAGAAGATATAACTTTAAGGTTAGAGTTCAGAGAGAATTGGGAGACATGGAAGAGGAAAATATATGAACCTACAAACTTAATCATAACTATAGCCAAAAAGACTACATGCAAACCAGTTAAAGTTGAAAACATATATATATATATATATATTTTTTTTTTTGTGAATTAGCCTGATTAAGAACTTGAACTTACAAAGAAAAAATTAAAAGGAAAACATTCCAGAACATCTCCAAACAGTCCACAAAAAAAATTCAAAACTAAACCAAGAACCAGGAATCACAGACTTGTAATCCCAGTGACTATGGAGGCTGAAGCAGGAGGATCCCAAGTTTAAGGCCAGCTTGGGCCACATGGTCAGACCCCAACTCAAAATAAAGTTTAAAAATGGCTGGGGATGTGGCTCAGTGGATTCAATTGCCATCCCCCCAATACATACACACACACACACACACACACACACACACACACACACACGCACGCACGCAAACCATCTACCTCAAATTTTGCATGAAGCACTAGTCTGAAATGTGAGTCACTAAGTTCGATTCTCAGCACCACATAAAAACAAATGAATAAAATAAAGGTCCATTAAAAAAAAAAAGTAGCCTGAATCAGCAACACAAATATTGAAACAGACTGAATTTGCACTAGACTTCATCTGAAATTGAGAATGGCTTCCTCCTGAGAGAGATGATGGGGGAGGCTAAGACCCTTGTCAACTGTTCCTCCAATCTGTTTCTCCATCACTAACAACCTCTCTTTTGGTACATTAAGTTCTGAAGAAAGCCCTCTGTAGTACTTTCTCTTCTCAGTTAAAAAGATAAGGTGTTGCAGAGCCTAGTGTTCCATACCTGTAATCTCAGCGATTAGGGAGGCTGAGGCAGGAGGATCACAAGTTCAAGACCAGCCTCATCAAATCATCTATCTAGACCCTAAGTACTTATCAAGACCCGGTCTGAAAATAAAAACAAAAAAAGAGCTGAGGATGTGTCAGTGGTTAAGCGACCCTGGATTCAATCCCTGGTTCCAAAATACATACATAAATAAATAACAAGGTGTTTATCTAAAAGAGAGAGAAAGGGGCTGGGGATGTGGCTCAAGCGGTAGCGCGCTCCCCTGGCATGCATGCGGCCCGGGTTCGATCCTCAGCACCACATACAAACAAAGATGTTGTGTCCGCCAAATACTAAAAATAAATATTAAAAACAAATGTGAG